AGAGAGAGAGAGAATATTTTTTAATATATATATTTTTTAGTTTTCGGTGGACACAACATCTTTATTTGTATGTGGTGCCGAGGATGGAACCCAGCACCCCKCRMATGCCAGGCGAGCACGTTACYRCTTGAGCCACATTCCCAGCCCTATTTCCAGTTTTTAGATGTGGAAKCTGAAGCTTGGAAGTTAGAGTTTGTCCAAGATCACACAGTGATAGGGAGTGTGAGCCCTCATCTTCTACCTGCAGACACCTGTGTCTTAGACATACAACTGCCCTGCTGTACCAAGCTCCAACTAGACCTCTCTGCATGTCTCGTCCTTATTCAGAGAGRCTGGGTTGCCTTTCCTTAAGTGATATTTTGTCTTTCAGAATTCTGAATCTTTTTTACTTTCCAACCAATCTGTCTGTTGTGATTTCCCCGGTGTTCTGTAACGAGCTGCACTGTGTTCTGACTCCTCATAAACCTAAAATYGTATTCCTGTCAGTAAACCTAATGACACATTTGTAAAAATATTCCTTAGATGACTTGAACGTGTTGAGTAATTCAGGGAGATGTGGGGCATGTCAGTATACATAAAATCGTTTCCTTGCTAACCACTTGAAATGTGTTGGCTTTTAGTCCTGCGTGGGGGTCCTCTCACCGGAAGCTACAGGTTGCGACAGTTCCACCTTCACTGGGGGTCTGCTGATGATCATGGCTCTGAGCACATGGTGGATGGGGTGAAGTATGCTGCAGAGGTAAGCCATTGGACACATCTGGGTCATTCAGGGGTTTTCTAAGTGATGCGATTTAAGGGTCATGAGGGCCAATTCTTTGACTTCACGTAGATCCTGAGCCAATTAGGTATCTCAGAGTCTGAAATGACTTGTTCACTCATTAGGAGAGTTTATTGAYATGAGAGCTTCCAATGTGGCCTGTCTGACCCTTAAACTAACCATGAGAGTTGAAAGTTATATGCTTTCATTTTARAAATGAATAAACTGAAGACTTATAAACATTGAGTAGGTTTAAACCCAGGACTGTTTGATAACAAATTAAAATCTATGTTTTCTCTTGCATCTTCTGAAAGGTCAATGAGAAGGGAGAAAAAGATACGTTTGTTTTGGGTCCAACTGTCTATATATTTGATCCAGGCACAAACATACGTGAYTACGCAAAGCCCCTATTAATCAGGTTAATAAATGACAGAGTTTCACTTTGGAAAACAATCATGAAGACATAAACTTTCCTAAACTCTACGTCACCTCCACATTTATAGATGTAAAATGRAATCTGTTAATTATTCAGGTCACTGGTAAAGCATAACACCAAAATAAAGAATTCATTACTGTGATTCTTTTTCACTAAACGTTACTTCTGTTTTGTTATATTAGTAGTCATTAATGATACTTCACTTTTTCTAATCCTCTGGCTAAAGGACAAAGCACAATATGCCTCAAGTTTTAATATGATTAGATGTTGCTAATACTAACTTTCCCATGAGATGAAGTGAATTACTGCATGACTCAACCAAAACCATTCAACTGAAACTAATTTGGTTTTTGCATCTTCTAGGCAGGGTTACCAGATGAATACAAATTTTCTTCATTTTCTCATGGTTTCTGAACTACAGAGTTTAGATGCCCCTCTATAGCCCTGCTGTATGGAAAAATCCAGCAAACTGAACTTCTTTCTAGTTTTATTTTTCTACTAACATGTGCAGCTGTCCTTGGAGGCTATCATCCAAAATGTCTGTTTTGCCAACTAAATCACTTTTGTCTGGGGTGAARTGCCTTAGGGTATGGGACTTGCTCTGGCTACAGATGTGTGTGCAGAGTATTCTATGATGGTGAACAAAAGACGATGAGAAGGTAGAAAGGATGACTCCTGCATCTGTGGTGTCTCCATTTATATCATTTACCGAAGAGTCTTCATGTTTCCTTTCTGAAGTTTTGTGTTCTAAATTTAATGGTTGTTCTAAATCTTAAAAGCTCTGTGGAGATGAAGAGGTGGCTGCTTTGGATCACTGGTCTCTTAACTTTCCCTAGCAACTCAGTAGGATCGGTCACCTTTATGGTTATATCTTGTACTTTCACAAACTTCCATGTGGATTCTCAGAGAGATTTACTGCCAGTTGGCAAGTCGTTATCTGAAAAGGGTTTCCTGACCTGAAATTGGTCACATGCTCAGAGTCCTCGCCTATAGATCAGGGGCCATCTTTATAGATAAAACTTTGACTGGAATTTCATGCTGTTCTTTAATCCATACTTAAGGCTGTTTCCTACTTCACAGGTTCGTATATTCAGTCCTTCATTCACTACGTAAGAATTCATCGAGAGCCAGCCATGTCCTCTTGCACAGTTTATTTGTGCTTGTCTGAGGGGAGGGCTTGCAAGAGGAAGAGGTGCCACAAATTCATTACCATGCAGCCTAACCCAGACTGTGGGTCAGAGAACCCTTCCCTGTGGAAGAGGCCTTTAACCCTGAAACCTGCAGCATGTGAAGGAGTGAACCAGGCAAAGGGAGAGACAGCAGTGGTCCTGAAGGGAATCATGTGTGAGAACCAGAGTTGGGAAGAGCTTCACACTTTTGAAAACCAGAATGGCCTGTGTGGCCAGAGCTTGGAGAATGAAGGGGAGAGATGTCAGAAGCATAAATGGAGAGGCTGGGAAGGGCCTGAGCTTACCGAGTCCTGGTGAGGATTATGAAATTTATTCTAGGTGCATCAGGAAGCCTCTGGATGGCTTTGAATTGGAATCTGATCGTCTTTGCATTTCAGAAATGTCATTTAAAGCGACAGTTGTCTCTTGGGTTGAACAGGAGTGGCTAAAGGAAGCCCTGAGGAGGCTTTTGGGAAGTTTCAGGTAACAGATGATAGTGTAGGTGGAGAGCTGCCTAGCTGGAACAGCAACTCTAGTGGGATTTGTTGATTTGATTGGGTTTCCGGGTGAGCAAGAGGAGAAGTTCATGTCTTCATTTGAGGTAAGAATTTGCTGAGAGAAAGAAGTTTGGGTAAGACCTCAGGTTTGGTGGATGGCAGAAGTAGGCAATAAACAAACCAACAAATTTGGAAAAAAAAAAACCTGATAGGTGGTAAATTCTTTGCCAGTGTTATCAGGTGATCTGGTTGAGTAACTGAAGGGTTAGGAAAGGCCTCTTTGAGGTGACACATGCATTGGGACTGAATGACAAGAAAATCATAGGAAAATCTGGAGAGAGGAAATGAGAACAACAGTACAAGGGGTCTAAGGCAGAAACGATGTTGGCATGTTGAAGAAGAGAAAGACACTGGCCTATAGGACTGGAATTAGATGAAGGTATGGGCTGTGTACCAGAGACACAGGCACAGGCCATGTTCATCTGTTGGTGTTGAGCATGGTGAGCAGTGTGGAGTTTACCCTTAATGTAGCGGGAAGAAGACAGWGGAAGGTTTTGAGTGGGAGAGTGGCATGTTCTGCTATTTATTTATTTATTTCAGTACCATGGAAAGAACCTAGAAGGCTTTATCRCAAGGCTCCATCCCCAACCCTTTTTATTTCTTGAGACAGTCTCTCTAAATTGCCAGGCTGACCTCGAACTTGTGATCCTCCTAYCTTAGTCTCTCATGTCGCTGGGATTACAGGTGTGAACACCACACCTAGCTCTGCTTCCTATTTATAATATGTAACTGCCATGTGGTGGAGAGGTTGTTGTGGGCAAGTGTTGGAGCATGGAGACAAATTAGAAGATTATGGACATAGTTCAAGTGAGCAGTGATAGTAATTTGGGCTGTGGGATGGTGGAGATGCAGACAACTGAGAGATCCATGAATAGTGTGGGTGGTAAAGTCAATGGGACTTGCCTAGGAAAAGGAAGGAGACAGAGGTGTCTAGAAATATTCTAAGATTTTGACTTGAGTAACCTGGAGGATGGTTGCACCATTCACTGTGAAGGGCGAGTCCAGTGGGAGCAGTTTCCATAGAGGAATGACCTTTCAATTTTGCACATGCTAAGTTTCAGGTGCCTGTTAGGTATTCTAGGCTCATGTTCTTGTGGTCCATGGATACAAACCTGGAGTTTGACAAAGGTCGGGGCTGGAGATGGTGGCATTTGGGATTTAGGTTTAAAAGAATTCCTTTGTGTTCTAGAAATGATTCTAAGGTGTTAATTGTCTTTTTTTTCTAGCACTTTTTATTTAATTTCATGACTATCATTAGTTGTCCCTGGGAGTGCACCCTTGAAGGGGATAGTAGGACCCCCACCTCTTTCTCTTTTTTGCTTCCTGGTGATGAGGTTGGAGCAGTTTTGCTCTGACATGTGCTCCCGCCATGGTGTGCTGCCTCATGCAGACCCAAAAGCAAGGGACCAACACATTAGGGACTGGAACCTCCAAAACTGTGAGCTAAAGTAAACCTTTTCTCATTATCAGTTGATTATCTCAGGTCAGATAGAAAACTGACTAACAAAATAATATATAATAAGCATAATATATATGTTGTTAAAAGTAAAACTATGATTTCTATGTTCCTGGCAGATTTTTGGAATCATATTTGGCAGGATATTTTACATATCTCTAACAGGCAGTTCTAAAATACTGAAGTTGGATCMTATTGTCCTTTAGAAATTAGTTTTCAGTGGGGAAGAGTCTTATTCCCATTGTTGCAGTGGCTACCACGCCTTCTTACTATTTAGCTCAAATCACTGCTGCTGTTATTGTTAGTCAGGAATTGTGAGTTTGCTATTTGATTGCTTGAGGGTTCGTTCAAATAAAAATGTTGATACAAGTGACGTCAGTTTCTCTTTGAAGGTATTGCTGCCAGTTAAGCAAGTGTGTGGGTGAGAGGAGGACTTGTTTTATTTATTTTAAAAAATATTTTCTTGCACTAGTTGCCCACCTTTTTACATATAGTTGTTGTTACTTAGCAGAAGGATGACTACCTACAGGACATATATATCTCAATCTATACACTCATTTTCTATTCAGATGTAGTTGTGACCCTTGGGTGTCATTTCCTACTAAGTGAGCAGATGTATTGGCATGGAGCCATTTTAAACAACTCCAGCATCCTTATCAGCCCCTCCCGGAGAGTGGAATGTCTTTCTCTCATATGAGCCACGTGGATCTTGTTTCCTCCTCCAGTTGTTTCAAGTTTCTGTCCTCCCCCAACTTTCTCAGAGAAACTTGGAACATACCACCACAGGCGTCCACCTTTATATTTTCCAAATAGAAATCCCACAATTGTATCTGATCATGTGTGGATGGTGAACTGTTTTATGATTTTATAGCTGACTAGTTATGATAATTCTTATCTAATCCTGCAACCCCTTCATATTACTTGTCTGTAAGATATAGAGGTATAATTGAAGGAAGGGATAAAAATATGCATTGGAACATATTAAGATTTCGACCTAACACCAGCTGAAAGGGTATTTTGGGCATGAAAGCTTGCATAAGCATTTCTTTCCTGATGTGCCAAAGGATTCACCTGGAGTTCTTATCTAGAGGYGGTCCTTCATATCAGGTCCTTGGATAGCATGGACTGGCCTTCACCATTTATGACGATTGCTAAATCTTTTGGGTGTGTCACATTGCCCTTTGGTTTCTCTCATAGTTTGCCTCTCTCTCAACCAGTACTGATGACTCTTCCAAAATTGATTTTCTACTTTATTGTTCTTCTGGAGTCTCTCCCACTTGCTTGTGTATTTGGGGTAATTCATGGCTTCCTTGGTAGAACAYTTAGGTCTCCTTTGGGTTTTGCATAAGTTCACTTCCATGAACTCCTCTTCCTGYTCTTCTTCCCCTTCCTCCCACCACCCAGTAACACCAGCTGCCTTTCATTTTCATCCTCAAACACTGGTTCCTAGACCCAAAGCTACTTTTTCACCATTAAAACTTGCTCTCATCAAAGGATCTGAACATATTTATATAAAGTAATAAATGCATAAAAATAGGAAAGTGAGGGAAGGAATATGTCAATCAGTTTGATTTAGTTATTGCATATTGTATACCTACTTTGAAACACCACATCATTTCCTGTATACATATGTAATTATTATTTGTCCATTAAAAACAATCTAATAATAAAAAATGTGTGAATTCTTCTTACAATAGTTTTTCATAAGGACAAAGCTATCAAAAATGTAAAGTCACAGTAATAAAGATCTGACTGGTAATTTTCAAGAGCAACTGCATTGTCGTTGGTAACAGGAATGTCCCTGAAAACCTGCTGTGTAGAAAGCTAACTTCTCCACCCAGCCATCAAGGTCCAGGTTTCCTTGATGGACACTGTTGTCAGCTGGGTTCTGATCTAAGGCAGCTTCATTGCAATCCCTTCAGTGGAAGACACAGAGATGCCCCTCAAGTCACTAGGGGCACTGGTTGGAATTTGCTAGAGCTAGAGAGATTTGACAGGATGCTCAGGGCATTGCAAATAGTAACTACACTGTAAACAGCTACTCAGGAGGCTGAGACAGGATGGTCACAAGTTTGGGCAACTTGGTGGGACCCTATCTCTAAATAAAAAGGGATGGGGATGTAGCTCAGTGGTACAGCACTTGCCTAGTAGGTGTGGGACCTGGGTTCAATCCCTAGTATTAGAAAACAAAAAGAGTATACTACAAACTAGTTAAATGATCATATCCTTCATTGCTGTCCTTGAGTTTTTGAAAAGTCAAAAGGAGGATTGTRTCCAAGTTTTTTGTGAAGGATATATTATATTTATGAGTGTACAGCACCAAAACTCGTGTATCAATGTTTATTTGCATTTACATTTTTCAGGATGTTTAAAAAAACATTTGACCTGTGTTGTGTCTCCCCCTTTCAGCTCCATGTTGTCCACTGGAATTCAGACAAATACCCCAGCTTTGTTGAGGCAGCTCATGAGCCAGATGGACTAGCTGTCCTGGGAGTATTTTTACAGGTGAGAATCCACTGATTTCATTTTTTAAAATAAGCTATGTTGGATAAAGAGCTCCAGTCATGGAGTGAACATTCAGCTGTTTTTTTCATAGTAGACCTGTTCTAGTTCTAGTATTTTCCTTTGGAAGTGAATGCTAAGAAATTAAATATTCATGTAGGAGCATCGTCTTGTGATTCTTCTGATTGTCCATTTATAATTTTCATGTGAGTAGCAACAGCAATATTAAGAAGAAGAAGAATAGCAGCAGAAATAACAACTGAGACCCTTCAAAGAAGACCTTTATTCTAGGATCTTCCTGATTCCTGATTTCAGTATTTAGAGATATAGGACAGAAAAAAGTTCAAGGCCGTGATTTTTGAAGCACTTTTTTTTTTTTTTGGACACAATGACATGTTGTCTTAAACCAACTGAACAACTTTTAAAGATGTTTGGTTGTATTTCCCTTTGTCTAACCTTCCCATAGGGACAAGTGATCACTGTTATCCTCAAACTTGGGGTGGCGTGGGCCCCTCAACTCCACTGCCACCACTGTCTTGTAGATTGAGCGGTTTTGCCACATTCTCTGAGTGATGTTGTAACTCATGAAACTGGGATTGGGGGCTGGACATGAGGCAGAGGTGGGAAATGCCACGGATAGTGGTAGGTTCTTCTTTTGGGCCACCAAGAATGAGTAGTGGCAGCAGGATCCAGGTGGGGAAAAGAATGCAATTTAATCCTGAAGGATTTAAAACCTTTGGGTAGAGTCAGAACACCCATAATAATGAAAATATTTGTATTTATGTATTTATGATGCCTTTGCTTCTGAGGACCTCAAGTCATTTTTAGGACCTTGATTTGGGACCTCAAGTCATTTTTAGGCTAGATGTGAGAGATGTTTTTTGTCTAATACAAAAGTATACCATAATCAGTTTGGATTGAAGGTATACAAAAGTATACCATAGTCAGTTTGGATTGAAGGTCTGAATATCACATTTGGGTTAATAGTGCAGGTGTTTTAAGAGTTTCCTAAGCACGGTTTCTCTTAAGTTAATCTATGTGGCAAACATTCATTAGGGGAAGGGGAGGGGGTAAGAGGAGTGTTGCTACCAGTTTTGAAACCAAAGTGAAAAGTTCAGTATAGGAACCCTGTAATACAATGTTATCATTCAGATTCTTCTGGCATGATAAGGCTATCAGAAGAGAACTTTTATTCTAGAACAATCACTGTATCTTCTGTGCTGGTGTAGATTTTCAGAAATTAATTTAAAAACAGTTGATTGAAATGRAAAGATCAGATTTTATTTGCTACTGTAACCATTTCTCTTAAAATTCGAATTTTTAGATTGGTGAACACAATTCCCAACTGCAAAAGATTACTGACATTTTGGATTCCATTAAAGAAAAGGTGAAATGAATTACTCGGTAGTTATGATTGATGTCTTTCTCCTTCTGTCTTTATTTCTCTTATCTTTCTTCAAAGACTTAAACCTTGGACAGAGTTTTGAAGCTGCCTGTTTTGAAGCAAGTTTGCAACATTGTTGACTAAGCAACCAGAAGTAACTTAGTATCMCTTATCTTTTGAAAATAACCAAGGGTCTTACATTATCTAAGATAATCACTAATAAATCATACAAAGTTACTTTCTGGTATTATAGTTTTACAAAATACATCTTGATTTGTGAAATATTTTAAAGACCACTTATATAAAAATAAATCTTGTGCTTCTGAAATAAATCTATATGATGTGTTATTTAAGATGAAGCAGTTTTTTTTTAAGATACTAAAGATAGATTCTGAATAACTCCATAGTATTTCATTGGATATGTGCATGTGTGTGYGCGCGTGTGTGTAAAGCTCTTCCACAGTAATTTGTGGGAATTCTCTGTTTGTCCAGGGCAAACAAACTCGATTCACAAATTTTGACCCATTATCTCTGCTTCCACCCTCCTGGGACTACTGGACATACCCTGGTTCTCTGACTGTTCCACCTCTTCTTGAGAGTGTCACATGGATTGTTTTAAAACAACCCATAAATATCAGCTCTCAACAGGTATGTAGCTTCTTTCATGTTGATTCACTCAGGAAATTGACCTGCTGTATCTGAGTTTAAAAATCCTGTTCATCGTTTCTGCCACATCATTAAGCTTGTGCTTTCTCTTCATTAATTAGATGGGTGGTTGAACTAGATGAGATTTGTGTTCTTTTCCCTTTTTTGTGGGGGTAGGTGAGGTGCATTTACTGGGGATTGAACTCAGGACATTTGACTACTGAGCCACGTCTTCAGGCCTATTCTGTATTTTATTTAGAGACAGGATTTTGCTGAGTTGCTTAGTGCCTTGCTTTTGCTGAGGCTGGCTTTGAACTCGAGATCCTCCTGCCTCAGCCTCCTGAGCAGCTGGGATTACAGGTGTGTACCACTGTGCCCAGCTTGTCACCCTTTTTTATTTGATCTTCTATGATTTGATGATCTCTTTCCAATCTCTTAAAAATGTAAGGCACATAAAGAAGCCCATAAGAGTAAAGCATTGTTTCAAATGCTAGCTTTTCTTTTGTTTGCTTTGAGACATGAACAGACTGGGATACAAACAGGAAAATCAGGAGAGAGGCCACATAGAAGGTGACATTCTCATTTCTGATCTCAGTCCTTACACTGCTTCTTCCACAGATTTCAGAGTAAACACTGAGAAGTGGCATCATATTGCTTAGAAATGTGTGCCTGCTAAGTTTAAGAAGTGGTCTTATGGTACACTTGAGAATTCAAGAGGGACAGCTATAGCTCATACTACTTATGGTGCTTACCCAGCAAGTGTGAGTCCTTAGAACTAGGAAAAAAAAAAAAAAAGAAAGAAAAGTTGGTTTTGATTTTTGTTAACAAAACTTTGGTAGGGCTGCCTGAGGGGCTTCTAAGCATTTGCTAAGAAACTGTGGGTTGGCCACCTATGGCCTTCCTGTGAAGACATTTACTCATTTTTCTTTAATTAATTAGTTATTTGCAATGCTGGGGATCAAACCCAGGACCTTGGGCATGCTAGGTAAGCACTTGACTGCTGAGTTATGGCTCCATCCCTTCATCTTTCTATTAAATGCTTACTGGCACCCACATAAGGCCAAGCATTCTTCCAGACTCTGGATGTCATTAGTGCCCAGAAACCACTTAAACTTTAACAGTTGACTGACGTATATTCTGGGATGTGGTCTCTTTAGTGGGTTTTTAGTTTTGTTGTCTTTTTTGAATTAGGTTCTACAGTATCTTAGTAGGAATATAATTTATTTTATTTTTGCAGCTAATTAAATACTTCTTCCTGTTCCCGACTTGCTCTCCTACCTAGCTGTTTATTCCCACAGCCACGCCCATCAGACTAGGACTGGTTCACCTTCACCAGGTTCTTTTTTTTTTTTTATTGTTGGTCGTTCAAAACATTACATAGTTCTTAATACATCATATTTCACAATTTGATTCAAGTGGGTTATGAACTCCCAATTTTACCCCGTATACAGATTGCTGTATCACATCAGTTACCCTTC